CAGGCGGAGTACTTCCGGCGGCTGCCTCAGGTCGAACGTTGAGTTTTTCTTAGCTCGGAACAGGATCATGAGATGCCAGCTGTGCTTATTTAGGCAGGTCAGGTTTCAGGCTTTGCTCGCAGCCCTGGACCTCTCAAGCGCTCCCGGCACAATTGCACTTGGCAACATGGTGCTCACCTACTGGGAGAAATGGAACATGGCAGCTTGTTGGCAATGATGCCGAAAAGTGTTGGCTTGTGCGGCAGTGCAGCATGGGGCCAGCAGTGAGGTGTGGCTGGCAGCGAACTTCTACATTCATTTTGGCTGGGAAATGAGACGCTTGCTAGCACAAAGGTGTGCAGTTCACGGGAAGCTTTGTGAAGCTGTGGTCGTCTTTTTGATTTGGTTAACGCCACAAGATTCCAGAGGATGCCCAAGGTCAATGCCTAAGGCAGTTTTGGACAGCGGTTCTGCAATGTTCTGCGCACTCAAGGCCTCCTCGGCTTCTTTGACTATGCTGAGTGGAAGAACGGGTCTCCTGAATGCAGATGCACTTAAACTTGAAGCCTCTCACTGGCACTGACGATCTGCACGAAATGGTTGCTGCACCTTCCACCACACACTCTGTTTTGCAATTTCAATACTGTAAATAAAATTCATCTATATAGATCCCGCTATCACATTTTTCCAGGAATATCAGGAATACTTTAAATTTACTGTAGGACAGGCCTATCTCGACATTTTCCAGAGTTGACTTTGTTTGAGAGATTGCCTCTGCCGTTCGACTGGGACTAGGACTAGGTCATACGAGTGGACTCAGTCACCTGGTTACCGTTTGCGAGGTTTAAGCCTTGGAACTTCTTATGCGCGACCTTCAGTTCATATGGAAACTATGACCGGCGTTCCTCCTTTGCATCGGGGGATTCATGATGTCAATCAAAGATATTTATAAAGTGAAGAAAGACCGAGAAAAGGAGAGAGAGGGAGAGAGGGAGGGAGTGAAGGAGGGAGAGGGAAAGAGAGTCAGGGAGGAGCGACCTCTGTACCAAACCAAAGTCCCTAAACCTAAACCTGTGTGGAAGATGGAAGGCTTTTTGATTCACAAAATATAACAAAAGAGCTTGCATTGACAAGCCATTCATGCCTGCCCTTCTCTTGCCCATTCAGGGCTCTCCATGTCCAATGCATGTGCTTGTCAATGCGAACGTGCCACAGGCTACAAACTCAAGCCGCCAGCCGACTATCAAGGAACAAAGGCCAGCATCGACAAAGCTCCGCGCTTAGAAACAAAGTTGTTGAAGCCCAAGCCATGTGTTTCCGCTTTGGACTTGTAACCTTCTGGTTTGCAAGTGGATCTCGCACCCAACTGACTAGGTTGTGCTGGCGGTGGAGGTTCCTGCAGGGATCGTTGACGGTGCTCTTTGCCTTCTGTGGCTTAAGGCGTGAGTGTTGTGGGGGATTTTGAGTGTTCAACTCCGATGGCAGTGTGGATTCGCTGGAGCAATGCCATGTGGCTGAGGGATGTCGCAAGAGTTTTCGAAAACTCCCACTCATGTGCTTGCAGGGCATTTTGGACAATGCCTGGTACAGCCGCACACCTGCAATGATTGTCTAAGAGTCTAAGTGTCAATTCAATGGGCCTGCAAAAAGGCCTTAGATTAGCCTATGGCCTATGTCTAGGAGTCTAGCGGCTTCGACTGTGTCGAACGTCAACCCGCAAAACCCAGGATGGCCCACTCAGCTTGTCGTTAGTGCCCTTCACGCTTTTGGCACTGTGGTCTTTTGGGCTGATGAACTCGTACCTGGTTCCTTTGCGGCAGCTTTAGCCGATCGTTTAACTGTCGCGCTTTTCATCCATGGCTTCTTTGGCCGGAATTGTGATTGAGGTTGGATGAACTGGTACAAAGGCCCGGAAAGACCAGATCATGACCTCTAGCACGACACATCTTGGACCTCATGCACCGATTTCAGGATGCAACACAGATTGTGATCACGCATGATGCATTACAACGAGGGCAGCATGTTCACAAGCATTGGCATCAATTCAGTGGTCCTGGGCATGCTTTTTGAGGCAATGGCTGGAAATGGACGCACACCGACGGACCACGAAACATCCATTGGTGGTGGGCATTCATTGGCTGGCTCCTAAGGAACTACAAACCTGTTGTGATTTTGCTCCTGCTGGTGGGTTCTTGGAAGCGCTAAACACATGACCGAGCTTTGAGCATTGCGTATTGCTAGAGCATTTGGAAGGCGTTGAATTGCGAGGGACAGGTGGTGCTCATTTGCACCCCAAGGTTCCAACATGGTGTGGGTTGTGGTCCCAATGATGTACTGCAAAAGTGCGGCTCAGCTGAAAATGTTGGATTTGGTGGCAGACAAATGATGACCCTAGAGTACATCATGCAGCATCAGTAGAAGCAGACTAAGCTAACGGGCCCATTCTTAGCATGCAGGCAAAGACACCTTTCGCAAAAAAAAGCAGAACTTTCTTTCTGAGAGCAGTTTGTTTTTTTCATGAACCACCACAAGCTTGGCCGCTTGGCCTTAGCTTCCGGAAAGCTAAAACAGGCTGAAACCATCTAAAACCTATTTCTGACTCTTCGAGGAAACATTTCGACGTTTTGAGAACGTTTGCCTTTTTGACCTTTTGAGCCGAGTTCTTTTTTGCAAAGAAGTTTGGACTTTTTGAGTTTGAGTTTGGACTTTTCAGAAAAAGCTCGGCTTTCTGATAAGGGTGTAGGCTCCGATGCTGTGGACATCTCGACCTTTCAAGCTGAAAGGCCGACTTTCAGACGCCGGACGCTACTAGTAGCAAGGTGCATCGCTACTAGGGGCTCCTGGCCTTACTACTAGGAACAAAAAGCTAGTAGGGACAAGAAAATACTAGGGACTCCTGGCATCGCTACTAGTAGCAAGGACGCTACTAAAACGCTCCTGGCCATACTACTAAGGAACAAGAAGCAGACTTTGCACAAATCTTTCTATCTTTGTCCTCGTGGGGTTCCTCACCTTTTCCAAACACACTTTCACTCGAAAGTTCTTGCTCAAGCTCTTTTTGGTGTGGAGGGAGCTCATATACTTTTGGAACACAATAGGCGCAGACTTGTATAGACTTTCAGACTTTTTCATGACTTTTCTATTTTGGAGTTCTTTCTTTCTCAAGTTGGCCGTGTGGCGCTGTGCATCACACCAGCATGTTCAAGCAACGGAATTCTATATGTACTCAGATGCCGTGCATGGTGAGCACGTTTGCGTGGAAGCGTCAGGTGTCAGGAGCCATTCAAAGTCCATTCCATCCCGTTTAATTGAACTTTATAGTTTGACAACTTTGGAGCCGTATTCGCGTCCTTAGATCATCATTTTTCAGTTTGCCCGTCAGATCCTTCGAGACAAATGTGACTTTTCACAACTTTCGATGTTTCAGATATTGTTCGACAACTGAAAGCAAAAACACAACAATTTTGACTTGTTTTTTCGACTTTTCGCACTGCTCCCGAGAATGAAGGGGGGCCATGCTTTGCTTCCACAGACAAGCCCTCGAAGACTCACGGGGCACACACTCACACGTATACCGTATACCCTATCATATTCAATATGCCGTTCCGCGATGTTCTGTGAAAGGACTGCTAGCCAAGATTTGAGTGCTTGTTGCTTGTGACACGTGGGTTCTTTGAGGCGATTGATGTGATGAAGCCCGCCCTGAAGACACTTTGCTAAGCGCCTTGTCACAAACACCAACGGTCAGCTGGGTGACTTTCAATGATTTGCATTACTTGTAGCGCCAGCATGTCTCATTTGCTTCTTGGGGCGCAACTCCAGCCAAGCGCCATCGCAAGGCGTAGCGCTGGGAGTTGAGATCCATGGCCCGCCGGTAGGGCCAGCTCCGACGCAGTTTACATGGCGCTGGAGCTGAATTTTCGGCAATGGAGCAACAGAGAGATGCTCCACGTGTGCTCGGCCACGCTTCCTTCAAGCGGGGGCCACGAGCTGAAGTGGTTTTAATTTTAGGCCTACGGCTGTTGCCGTAGACCCGTAGAAGATTGTAGGAAGTTTAGTGATTTGTGCACGGGTCCACAGTTTTCTCAAAGTATTTTCATAATCACAGTTTTCTTGTCAGAGATTCGTCCAGATGCAATCGGTGGAGTGGGGCCTTTGCTTCAGTGTGCCAACCGAGAAGACGGCGTGTTGAAGTGGCTTGTTGCTTCCGGCGTGACAAAAGGTCCGTGCATGGTTCGAACATTAGGGGCTGTCCTGCGAACATTGCCGAGCACTTGTTCTGATGAGGCGCTTCAAGGAGGCGGAGGAAGACAAGCGCCTGAGAACTGCCGGTAGCCAAGCACGCACGGTCAGTCCTCCAAAGTTCCTCATGTACTCTTGCGGATTTTTTTTTTTGCAGCCCCTTAGTTGGCAAGATGCCCCCCAAAAGCACATTCTTCGAAATATGCAACTAGAAGTTGCACATTGTGTGGAAAGCATGCCTAGGTGCATATTGCTGGTTTGGCGAAGGAGGTGCCCATAAAGACTGGAGAGGTTTGACAAGTACATAAAAAGACTGTACTTGCCTGGGCAGGGGGCTAAACATTTTCTACCTATAGCTATATAATTACCCACATCGAATTTGTGGTTTTCGGTGCGCACACGTGCAATCACACACACACACATAAGCGCATAGGCATACAACAGCATACAACAGTATTTGTATTTATTTGTAAGGTGTATGAATTACTGTAGATGAAGCATGCAGCCCCCCAACTGGATCAATGAAGCATGGCCACCGCCAACCCCAGCCCGAAACCGCGCGTACTACATAACACAGGCCACAGAAGAAGATGTGAGGCCGCTTTGTGAAAGTTGGTGTGCTTTGCAGAAATTGTTCGCAGCACTGCCAACTAGACTTCAAGTGGCTTGTATTCTAGTCTTCTATAACGAATTCAGGACACATGCGCAGCTTTTCAGGCTGTGCTTGAAGCAGATGTCTGCGCTTTGTGTGTTTCTACCAGCTGTCCGCGCTTTGGCTCATCTTGGCTCACAGCCTCGCAGCTGCTCGAAGAGCAGTGTGGAAGCCTCAGAGTTGCTGCATTGCTTGTCGTTGTCGGTGATAGGGGGTAGGACGACGATAGCCCTTGTCAAGTTGAGGATATCGCGCTGGATCTGTTACTGTGCGAAAGTATGCTAGAAGTTCTAGCTTGATATGCTTTGCTTCGCATGCTGTGCAGCTCCAGGTGCAGGCCCAGCATGCCGTTTGTACCGATCTCGAGCCGCAAGCCTCATGCACTCCTGCTGGATCATGACAAGGATGCAGCTGCTCCATGCTGCTCCTGAAAGCGCTGAGAGCCGACAGAGAGCAGCTACAAAGCCATACTAAGCTCATAGTAGCTATGGTGACCCTGCCTGCATTGCACGTTGGCCAACGCAGCCAGGACCGCATCCGTGCTCAGATGCAATCCAAAGATGAAGCAATGGGCTCAGTGAGGCACAGCTTGCGATATGGCATCAATAGGCCAATGTGGCACCAAGGAGAGGCACCCTGTTTCACCAAACATGCACCATGGTTTTATCATGTTTATCATATGTTCATCTCATGATGTACGATGTACCATCCATCTACTGTAATGTTTAATATTATGTTCCTCACTTGATCCCCAAAGCTGAGGCAAGCGTGGCGGAACATTATGGCCTAGCGCCAAGTTCCCGAGGCTACCGATTTGGGAACCACCCAATGACTCGCGGCCCCGTCAGGCTGGGAGACGAGTTGAACAAAAGCAATCTAAAAACCAAGCCACCAATGAGTTTCAATCAAGCAAGATAAACAAACAAAACAATTGGGGAGTTTGCAGAGTTTGCATGCTTGAGTTTTGCGTCCATTGCATGATATTGCAAATAAAGACTGTAGCCTACGATTGCAACTCGGATCATAACTGCATTTGGGTCGTCGGTGATGTGGTGATGTCGAGCAGCACACAACTGGGCAGTGTGATGCGTGTGAGAGTGAGCATTGCCCTACATGTTGAGTGGGGAGTGATATGCAAAATCGACCCGACATTACGGTGCAATCACCCAGTACCTAGTCAGACTCTAGTCCGTCCGAACTCTAGACATTCCTCATGCCAGGGGGCCGGAGGTGCCTTTCAAGGACCTGCGTTGGCTTATTGGTTGTTCTCAGTTTTCGCCACAAACCGGCTCGCTCCATGTTCTCAAGGAGGCTCTTACATTAGTTTACATTCAGGTTCATTCAGGCTCCAGAGGTGAAGTAGAACAGAGCATCCAACATCCTTGTTTGATTTAGTTGAGTTCCCGTAGCAAGTACAGCAAGTACACAGTCAGTGCAGCCAGAATGTTCTTTGTTTGGAGGAGGCAACGCGACATTGGAAGCCTTCGGAGGTTGAGCGCGAGGTCCGGTTCTTAGACCTTTGGCTTTTTGGCTTCGTTTAATCCAGCTGTTCAATCCTTCCTCGCGCTCAGGGGCCAATGGCAAAGGTGGATGTGAAGCAAGCCAAAGTTGGTGCATATTGGGACTGCAATCCGGTTTGATTTATGACATTCTATTGTCGGACCCAGGCCAGGCCCCTTCCATATCCCGTGGCAGGACGGCTCCCATGTAAAGCTTGCAGCCCTTCGCAATTGCCAGTCCTCTCCAGCGTTGCAGCAGTCAGCTGCAGAAGTTATGCAGGCGCGTATGCATGTATGGCATCCATCCAATCTGCCACTCTTTATTAAAGACACTTAACAGCTCTGAAGGGACACAATTGCTTTGGGCCAGAAATTCTTCGCCATTAAACTGAGCTACGGTTCATCTCAATAGGCGTGCCACCCCTTGACTACAGAGCTCCGGCGATGGGAGAAGCTTGCCAAGGTGTTGGCTAGCGGCTATCACATTTGTTGCGAACTTTGTAGAGTCGTTCACAAACAAAGAAGAATCAGCGAGAATCGTCATAGCCAGTTTCATAATATCTATCTTTGCCCTTTGCTGCATTCCGGGGGTGCAAGGCATGTTGGATCAAGTTCAGCTTGTGCGGGCAGGTGACTGAGAGAGGGGAGATCAATGAGGCCGAGCAGCGGAACGCACAGCAGAATCACCTTTGGATACAGTCCCGTGGAACTCTTTCGCGTGGAGAAAAAGCTACTAGTAGCAGGTTGGAGGCCATCGCTATTAGGTTGGAGGCCATCGCAAATAGTAGCAAGGTATTGGGACAAGTTTCCTTTTGTTTTTGGTTCAGAGATGTTGCATCAAAGTAGGACGTCCAATCTTCAATGGCAGCGAGCCGAAAGCTGTGCCAAGCTGGCGTGCGGCCAAAACCAGTTTTTGCAGGAGGACTTGCTTGCACCTGAGAGCTGCAAAAGTGTCATAATGGCAGTTGCACCAGCAGCAAGTTGCACACGTGGCAACTCCTTCAGTGTGAACCAGGTGAACTTCCCCAAATATATGCTGATCAACAACTGTACCTCGGCTTTGTGACGAGACCCGCGTAACAAGAGCTCAGCCATGCATGAATTGGATTATACACATATATATATATATATATAGTAGTGTTAGCCTGACAAGCGTGCCAGGTCACCTCAAGCAGATGGACCTGCAACGATATGCTGACCAATGTGCTGAGGAGGCGGACTTCGTGGGTCATGATTGTGATGGTTTGCGAGTGCTTGGTTGCCCGCAAGCCTGACGGTATGTGAAAAGCAATGCCGTTTCTTCCACATTATAAGGTCTCCTTTACCATCTTTTCCAACGCAACCGGCAACACCAATTGGCTAGAACACGCACCTTACAATCCTTTTGTTATTTGTTTTTGTTTGTCAATTTTGCCCGACACACCATGCACACAGCTATCGTGGAAACTCCTTTGTTAAACTGAAGACTCCAGTGAGCCTGCCAGTCAGCAGTCCAAAGAATGTTGGTGAACCTCGTGTGAACGTGTTTGGATTCCAGGTGAAGCCAGATTTGCCAATGGCTCAAGTGAGCCTGGCGAGAAGGGGTGAAGCCAGCCCCAGCAGCTCAGTGAGGACGGAAAAGCTTCAAGCTGGCTTGCAGATGGCCATTGCCCTGAAAAGAAAAAATTGTTGGCAAACATTTTTCACATCACACACCATGCTTTCCAGGATGCAAGAGCCCTCTTGGGGTGCTCCCAAGTTGAAGAACCATGATCAGGACCTGCAGTGAAAGGTTGTAAACTGCCGGACGTGTGTTGGATCGTGGAGGCGGCGCCTCGAAGAGGCAAACGTTGGCAGGAGGAGCCTTGCTTTGCTGGTAATGCCATGCCTTCTGGACGTGCTAGCCGCACCTCAGCCTGGCTGCGGATGGGATAAGCTCCAGTCAGCAAAGACCTTTCGACCGTTTCAGGACAGAAACTCTATATTATATATATATATGTATATTATATAGATTCAAATTTTACGTAGGCTGCAAAAATGTTGTCCACACCAAAATGTAAACCAGTACATTTGGTCAATTCTTTATTGCGCGATGGGCCACATCAAATCCAACAGTCCTTTTTTGCAGGAGGCAGCGCAGGAAGCTGGCATTTAGCCAAGTCCTGTGCGAACGCTGCCTTGCACAAAAGTTTGCCTGACAATCCAGGCAATGTAGGTTTTTAAAGTGTTGATATGGGCAACGAAGTGCGGAGTTGGCAGCAGTACTTGTAGGAAGCTTTTGCCCACATCATCACTTTGCTCGGCGTTTCACAGCCAAATGGAAGATGATGAAGCCTACGCATAGAACGTGTGTCGCACCGATGGTGCAGAGGTTACCCGTTATCTCACGGCAACTTGCTCAGCCCAGTCACGACCTTCCCAACCTATTCTGGGGTCCGTGTCTTTAAATTCGGATGAGCTTCTCGCTTGCACCACTTGCATTTGGTCTCACTTCACTGGGATTCCAAACAGGAAGGCCTTTGGTCAGCTTGTGCAGAAAGGACCTTGCTGAAATTTGCATATCACCAAATGGCTGAAATGATCGCGCGACCTTCTGCCAGCCAGGGTCATATGCAAGCAGTTTGGGCAAGTCGAGGCCCTCCGCATGGACAAGGCATGTGCCACATGTGCTGATATGGTCTCGTTTTCAGGCCTCTAGACTAGTTCTGTAGAGGTAATTTTGATTCAGGACAATGACGGGGAAAGCTTTGCTCTTGTGGAATTCAAGGAGAGAGGCGCGCTTGTTTTCCTGGCATTTGGACAGTATACCCAGCATACTTCTACTTCCGTCTGGGGTGCAGCGCAAGTATGATCAACTGGCATAGGAGTGTAATTAAATTGTATGTACTTCCAGAACTGTCATGTAGGCTCCGCGCAGGTTGTTAAGCGCCAGCTTGGATCTCAGAAACCATAGCAGCCATAGCAAGACCCTGAGGTCAGACAGGGACAGGGAGGCACAGCCCCGCCCAAGACTTTTTACACGCGACAACTGAGTGACAGCTAGGTAATCTCTATGTAATTTAACCAAGCGACAGGTTGTTTTGTTCTTCCATGTTCTTCCTTTTTCTTTTAAACTTTAGACTTTAGACCCTATATATATATACATATATTTTTGTTTTTTGGGTCCCGGTTCCCAAAGCAACAACTGAGTGACAGCTTGCCATGTGGCCGTAATCTCTGAGGGAGAAGTACTTGGTGGAAGAGCGGGTGCTTGTCTTCACAGAGGCGGCTTGGAGGGTGTGGTGATGTGGGTTGGGCGTCTGAAAAATCAAGGAACCAAATCATTAGTGCGAGCGCTTCTTCAAGGAAGCTCCCCCGTGCCTGAAAATCCTCAAGGGGGGAGCTTCCTTGAAGAAGCGTGAGCTATCCTGCGTCCTGGCTAAGGAGCTAGCTTCCTATTGCTAGTAGCGAACTAGTCGCCCTTACTTAAGTAGGTGCCTACTCAATCAAGTATATAAGGGGGGGGCCTCAGGGTTGGGTGGTGAAGGGCCACTTCAGACTCCAGGCGCCTTGTATGCAATTTAGAACGGCCACGTGGCAGGCCAAAACAATGGTTGACACCACGACCTTTGCGGAGCAAAGCCTGGATGCCTATGCAGATCAGAGCTGGAATTGGTACCAGCTTCGGACATGTAGTGTTAGTGAAGTGAAATTCAACATTACGAATGAATCGTGCCAAGAGGCCAAGATGCCAAGAGGGATGATTTTATTCAACAAGAAATGCTGCCGGCGTTTGTGCTGTGAGGTGTGCAATTCAATCAGCCAGCCTTTGACCCGACCACCATGAAAGCGACCCACTCAGCAAATTGTTACGGCGTGCGTGCGGCTGGAAGGGCTGCAGTCAAAGCAGATCAAAGCATCTCAAGGTGGTGTTGGCATACCAGCCGGTTCCTGAGAACGCCGGGCCTAAGTGTGGAGCCAGCGAAGGAGGGCCTAGGCCTGATACACAAGAATGACGATTTTGGATGATGTTTGCAACGCAAAGTGCCCGCCTTGGCTGCATCAGGCTCAAGGTAGAGCAAGGCAGCTATCCACGAATCTGAACAAAAGGTTCTGCATAGAATTTGGTTGCTTAGTCTTGCCGCCCTTGACTTTCAGGCCCATCCATCATTGTCAATGCAGGATCAAGTTGTCATTCATCCGCCTTGCAGGTGCCATGCATGATACCCTCGACACAGGGTGAAGGCCTAAGGTTGTGCCAGAAGGGGTGCAGCGCACAACAAGGAGAAGAACAAACAACATGATAAAAGTCAAGTCAGAAGAGAAAGAAAGACAGGTAGAAGGATCTGAGTCTGAGGGCCGACAGAAGGAAAGAGCCGGAAAGACTAGAGTTCTCCCTGCTACAAGCACAGTGATAGGGCAGTGAAAGGTCAAGACAGCACACCTTGAGAGGTGGGTGTTCTTAGTACGAGCAAGAACGCTTTTGAAAGAATGGTTTCCACTACCCCGTGCTATACGAACCATCGGCTGATGCTTCCCAGAGAATAGTTCACCTCTAATATGTTCCGCCATAACCGATGCTCGCTGATACTCGCGGGCTATTCTCAAGGTGTCAGATCATGGTTGGCCCGATGTTGGAGGCTGGCGCCGAAAAGTTCAACGTGCACAGAGGCATACGTACTTTTTCATCTCGATCCATCTATATAAGCCTAATCCACGCATGATATTCGACTTCAGGGAGCTTTGCATGTTCAATTTCCGCCTTGTGATGCGTGGCATTTCATTTGTGTTTGGGATCGAAGGCAGTGCTCTCGGCATGCCACAGCAGCACCTTTGGCGCTCTCCGTGCAGCCTCCACGCATCAGCGCACCCTTGCTGATCAGTCAACACCTGAGTTCGGTAAACCTCAACACTCAGACTTTTGCAAGTCCGGGTGCCAGGTTACGGCGTGTAAATGCATTGCTAGTTCTTCAGGAGGAACTGCTTCGAAGATTGTCAGATTCATGGTGAGTTGGGGGAAGTGGATTTGAACATCCGTTTTAGAGCCAGCTGACAGTTGAGTCAGTTGAGTTGAGAACCAGTGGAGTGGGGTAGTCGGGTTCTCTGAGGTTAGAAAGATCCGAGATGCCGAAATGGCCTCTTTTGTTACTGATTACCTTTGACTCCTTTGTTACTCGGCACCGCTCCTTGGTACAAGACCTTTGGACAGCCGCAGACCTTTGCACAGCTGGCTGCTTGAGAGTCTATAAATTATGATTGCTGCAGATGCTTCTTTAACTGGGAATGTGTTTCTGTGATGTGACAGTGCACCAAGTGGGAGCCAACCCAAGGACAAGACATGCATCCTGAGTTTGTGCTTGAGTTTGACTGTAGCTCATCCTGCAGGGCGTTTTCTGGTGCCAACGCTGAGGAGGGTACTTGGGGGAGAGCAAGTGTGAAATAAACTGGCTCCGAAATAAACTGGCTTCCCAGCACTTCTCACCAACAGCCTTTGCTCCAAAAGCATCCTAGTTACCTAGTAACACACACACAAACACACCTGCCTCACACACACACGCACACACCCATGCACGCACGCGCACACACTCTGACATTGGTTTTCAGTTAACTCAATTCCCAAGTGGAAGAAAGGTGAGAGAACGGAATGGTGAAAGGTCCGAGCATTTGAAGATGTTTTAACAAATGGTTTGTGCACATCTGCAGAAAAGCGGTGGCGAACGATCAGCACGGCTGTACACCTGCGGCAGGAAAAGGGTTTGTGGGGAGTATCATGAAACCACCACGGAATCAACAAGCAAATTGGACAGCGTGATCAACAGTTGCGTCGCAGGTGCAGGAAACTGGCCAAGTTTCCCTCCCCACTCTTATCCACAGCTTCGTTGCGTGTGATAGGATAAGAGTGTCACACGCCCCTGCAACTTGAAAGTTGAGAAAAA